GAAGTCGTCTTGGAGTATGAGTACTGCCATCTGAAGACATTGAAAGTTTCTTATGGCTAAACTGACTGCCAGCATTGCTGCTTAAGATAAAATTTCCAGATGGTCTCCACTGTAACATCCAGTTTTCAGTTGCTTCTTAACCATGACATATTTTAACCACTGAACCACGCAGAGTCCTGGTCTTCAGATGCTTTTTATTTGGTGTGGAAAATCATATGACAGTGAAATGAGCAGGAAGTGCTGCTCTTCATGTCTTCAAAAAGCAAAATAACCACCAGGACATTTTAAACCATCTTTTTGGGATTCTTTAGTTTGCTTAATGTATCAGTATGCAATCTGAAAACTGATTGGACCATGGAGAAGCCTTTTCTCTCTTGTTGAAAATCCACTTTCAGCTGGCAGTTATGTCTAACATAGAACTAGGCTATAAAATAAAACTGGGAAATACTTGGGTAAGGGAAGGCGGCTGCTCATGAACTGATCGAGAAGTCTGAAGTTTTTGTCCTGTTACGATTAAAAAAAAAAGGAAATTATGTGTAAAGGTAGTCTCAAAATGGAGACCTTGTTACCATATATGACATAACTATACTGAAGCTGCTTTCTGCAGGAGGGTAAGAATTAAATGCCATCATCAAGAGTGGACAGTTATGGTTACAAGTACTCAGTTGTAGTAATTACAGTGGGGTTTTTTTGAAGGAAATAATAGAATTTATGTGATTTTTTTCTAAGCTGGAGCTCAGAAGGCAAAACCAAATGCTGGATTACAAGAAACATAGATACATTGCTAAGCTTTAGTTGTGAATCATTAGTAAAGGAAGGGCTCTTTTTTTGTGTGTGTGTTTATATTTTTCTGAATTTAGCTGCTTATTTTATCTTAAAGTATGCTTAAAGTCAGCATGAAGGGTAGAGCATCTTTTAGTTTTCTTGTAAAGAGGAACCACTGAGCTTTTCTTGAGACTCTGCTTAAAATAATGTTTAGGCTGGGTATGAAAAGTTCTCAAATACACAAATTGTACCTAAGAACATAACAGCTTTTGAAAATTTTTCTTGATTTCCTTAGACTTGAAGAATAGCTTGGTTTTGGCTTTTTTCCAGTGATAAGTAACTGACTCTGCAAAATCAATGTTTAGTAAGTCACTGGAACATTTGCTAATAAGATGGTAGAATAAATGAGTTTTTAATTGAGTTAAATAATTGTTTGATCAAATGCATATGTTTATGTTCTTTCTTGCTAGATTTGGATATTTCAATCAAATTCGGTTTTTTCAAATTCATTTCCCTTAATGAAGTAAAGAACTTCTTTTTGTAAGTTAAATTAGTTCCTGCCTCATCTTATTTTCATATTTCAAAGGAAAATACAAAATACGAAAGTCACAATAGAAGTATGAAATTTAGTACTACTTGTCTGCTTGAAGTTCCACAGATTTTAACATGCATGGAAAGATCCTTAAATGTTGCATTTCACATGCTGTAAAAACCAGACACACTTCTTTGTAGTCTCTTATTAATCAGCAGCTCTGAGTCTTTGGCATGGTTCATTCTTACTTTTCTTTACTACTTTTGTTCTGGGTGTGGGGACTGCTAAGCACTATAAAAGCACCTGGTCTGCTTAGGAAATAGTTGTTCTCTGTGTAGGGAATAGAATGTTTTCATCAGGGGGTTTCTTACGCTGTGGACTTGTTAGGTAGGTCACCACATGGAAATTTTGTTGATTCTTAGGAATGATGATGTGCTGCAGGATAATCATTAATGTCCCAGAGTAAGTAGAAACATTAGGATTTGGAGCATCTTTTTTTCCAGTACATTGGTTTCTGCTTAAACACTTTGAGTAACAAAGATCCTCATGTGCAGTCTCCCAAAATATGCTGTCTTTTTTCTATTTTCTTTAAGGGTGTGTGTTTTGGACATCATCTCAAAAAAAGGCAACAACTGTCTTACACGCCAGCAAGATCCAGTAGTGTTTTGTACATGCTGAAAACTTCAAACATGAAAAGTTAGCAAACTGAGGGAATGTGAGGGTGATGATGCAGAGAAACAGGCAGAGGGAGAGCAACAAGGGTGTAACTGGCTGGAACTTCAGCACCTGAGCTCCACTAAACATTTGTAGTTCTTGGCTTTTAGGATGCTCTTGTATTTGTGTGTCACTGTCTTCTGTAGGTTGTTTCTTTAGTTGTGATTTTGAGTTGAGGAAGATTTGAGCGCATGGAAAAAAAACTCAGGAAAACAATTGTGAAATACCACTAGTGAAAATTTTTCATACAAAAATAGAGTGTGGAGAGATATTAATTCTTGTGGAAGGAGAGACTGACTTCATTTGATTGCTTTTTCTGTGTTGTTGATGTAGAAGCAATTAATCGTAGTTTGAGCTACTTCTGCTTAATTCTTAACATAATCTCACATTTCAACATGTGTGAAGTTAGATACATTCAAAGCAGTGCAGCCTTAAATTGGTCAAATTGATTTCTGAATTCTCTGGGGGTGAGGTGAATCCTTACAGTACTCAAATGCAAAGTGAGAAACACTCCAAGAAATCAAAAGGAAATATTCTTAGCTTTGTCTCTGTACAAATATTAGAGCAAACAGTATCCCTGAACAGAGGTGTGTTATTTATAGAGAAACACGATGCAGTGATGAGTGTGTTTGGGTGACAATATGAGACAAAGAGCACAAGAAATAGAGTTAGATGTTAAGAATGGTCTTCTGGATTTGTCAGATGTCTCGTTCTGATAATTCTGTTTGATAGTCTAGCTGGCCTGACAGGTAAGAGAAGCACTAGCTGCAGATACAGCTGGATTCTGACAAAAATGTCTAACTTGAAGGCTTACTCTGTGTTCCTGAGTTGTGGTCTTGCTGGTCACTGCTCTGTCTTTCCAACCAAAGAGTCTGAATTATGTTTTTCTGTGAGTTCTGAGCTTGGACTTTTAAGATGGTTGTCTGAGGATCTGAATACTGACAGTGATACATTGCTACAAAAGGTAGGGGATCATTTGTTAAAGCAATACTTGGCCATGATAATTGATTACTGATGACTGATTAAGACTGCACCTCAGGTGGGGTCCTGCAGTGTGCTTCTTCATCTTGTATCTCTCACACACTGAAGAAAATTTGGTTTCAACTAGAAATTCTAAATAATGTTCAGAGAACATCAATAAAGTTGCAAACTTCAGGGTAAATTTCCTTACCTCACTTTTTTTTTCCCTGTATCCTGTATAGTTTAAGTTTTTTAATCCAAAATATGTTATTTATTTTTTCTTTTATTTATGATCCAAATTAATGAAACATTAGAGCCTGCTGTTTTTCTTGGGAAATTGAGAATATAGCAGTAGTCAGCTTGTGTGTTGGTTGAAATACTGATTTCAAATCAGCTTTGCAATATTATTTTAGCATTATCAGTGGAATGGCATAGATATCTAAAGTTTTAGTGTGCAGAAGTATGGATGTGGAGAAAAGCAAGTAAGATACTGTACATGTAAAACAATGGTACAATTTTGGTATTAAACACAAAATGTGTGAACATTTAATAATATTTCACAGCTGAACTTTATTGCTTGTAGCTAGTTCATTGCTTTATCAGAGCTTAGTGAATACTTCTTTAATTTCTTATGATTCACAGTTTCTGTGTGTGTTCACAAGTTCCTTTTGTCTTCACTACACACCCCCTCACCTCCCTGTAGTTGATTCAGACGCTGTAATATGTCTTTGTTTTCTGAGCTTGCAGTACTAAATAACTTTGGGAGTATATATTCCCAGAATAGTTTAGCTGCTGTGAAACACTGTTAATTTTCTTAAAGAACTTTAATTTGCTTGCATTCATAATTTCTACTTACTCTTAAATCATTTCTGGTCTTTGCAGTTTCATAAGGATTTCAAATACATTGAGTTTTAGTACTCAAGCCCAGTTTTAATTAGCTGAGGAAATGAAAGCCAACAACTTCTTCACAATTCCATTGAATAACTTTGTTTACTGGGATCTGAAATAACCAGAGCAGAATGTTACAGCAGAGTTTCTGTTCTTTTAATTTCTTCTTGGAATTTAATGTTCAGTTTGAAACTTCTTAGTTTATCTATCATTTGAGCTGGTGCTTCATCTTGGCACTGCAGTAGTCACAGAATACTGCTCTGTGTTCTCAATGCTACCATCACTTAGTGCTTTTTTTATTTATGTCATAAATAAATTATTTCAGAATGTTGGTTGAAAATAATGAAAGGGAGAAAGCTCTTGAAAATAACTAAGAAATAATGTTATGTATGGCTAAATGGGGGTATTACTGTATTGAGTGTAGGCAGGGGGCTGTCTGCTCAAGTCAGCCAATTAAACATGAAATGCTTGCTTTATTTGTATGTACAACTATATAAATGACACAGCTTACAAAAAGTGATGTGCTTTTGTTGTGTCTGTATAGACACATACATTTTTTATACATACAAATATTTTATAGATATATGTGTGTGGATGTATGTATGACAATATCATATTTTTAAGAAACATTGCCCATGAAGCCTAAAACAAACACATAAGAGGCCTCATTTGTTTTTTTTTTCTGAAGGAAATGCCATGGCATGGGTAGATAAAAAAGGGTTGTTTTTGATGTCCTTCCCAGACTGAGTACCCAGCCCCTGTGTGTTTCCTTGCCATGGTGCACCTTGCTGGCCTATGGATGAGCATGGCTGGACACGCTAGTGGTGAAGGAGAGCAGCTTGGGGTTTCTGTAGGAGCTTGTACAACTTAATGAGGAAGAAATTAGGAACTGATGCTGCTGTAGACTACCTGATGTTATATCTAAAAGACCTAGTTCTGAGACTTGTATCCCCAAAGTTGGGGTCATGTGGGTACTTAATGTATGAAAACAGTACCTAACTCATTTTTCAACCTCTGGCATTTAGTGGGTGTCCTAAGCCATTAAACACTTGATATTTTTAGACACAGAAATACATCTTGTTGAATTTTAAACTAATTCTGTTTACTTGATTTTTTAGAAATTATTTATTTTTTCTTTCAGTTTAACTTTGTTGGAAGAATCCTTGGGCCCAGAGGACTAACAGCTAAACAGCTTGAGGCAGAAACAGGATGCAAGATAATGGTCCGAGGGAAGGGCTCAATGAGGGACAAAAAGAAGGTAAGGTCTTGAAGGGCAGTGTAGTTTCAGATGCATAATTTTGTTTTCTGATGGAGGATAAGCTCATGTCTCTCATTCTTGCTGTGTTCTTACTATTATGCTTTTTTGTTACCTAGTGTCTTACACTGACTTAGTAAATAACACAGGCTGTCCTGAAGAAGTAAAATGTACACACTCCATAATTCTGCAATTGGGAGTCTTAACTAGCAATTCTAAAGTATTCTTAAGTGATAAGTAACTTAGAATTTTGTCACATTTCGTAATGTAAAGGTAAAAATTGAAGTTAAATGTATTTTTCTAGGAAAGAGCTGTTAACCTCAAAGGTCTTATTAATAACTTTATTGTATTGAATTATCAAAGTAATGATTTGTACATGGAGTGTGAATTGGAAAAAAAAAAAAGCTAAATGTATTTCTGGCAGTCGCTTCTGTCTGAGTGAGCCAAAAAGCACTGTGTTTCTGGCTTTGTTTTGTGTTCAGGTGGAGTTGCAAAGTAATTTGGGGTGTTCTTGCCTTGTCCTGGAATAAGCATGCTCTGCCCATACGAAGGGGCAAACTGCACGATAGAGCCTTCCTGAATGTCAGGTTGCTCTCGTGGTAACTGTTTTTCTAGGTTTATTTTCCAGCTATTTCCCTCTACCTCTGGCTACTGCTGCTGAAGTTATACCAACATCTCCACTGTGGTTTTGAATGTTTCCTCTTTGTTCCCAGGAATACAAAAAATTTCATTTTATTCTTTCATAGGAGAAACCCCCCCCTTGTGTGATCAGCCACATAATACATTCTGTTGATACATATATAGTACATAACAATTACAATAGAAAGTTAATATCTACTCAGTTAAACATTTTCTATCCCAGCGCCTGTGAATGTTACCTTCAAATTTCATTTAATGTCTCTTGTTTTCATAATTGCTGGAGCACTGTTACTGTCCTTTGTCTTATTTTACCATTGTTGTAGGTTTTGGAGTTTGTGAAATACCAGTTAGAGAATCCCAGAGTGGTGGACTCAGACAGAGTCACCATGTCCAGGTTTCCTGGGATCATGTCCAGGTGCCGCTGGGTGTAGTGTCCTCCCACCACTGTGCTTCAAAACCTGTCCTGTGGGAAGTCGTCTCTCTAGACAGCTTGGGCAGGTTTAATTTTTGAGGAAGTATTTTTTGACTGATTTCCTCTATTCTCCATGCCTTTTTTTTTTATTTTTAATTGTACTTTTTGACAATTCACAGAAGATTAGGCCGTGGGAGTTACTGGATTTTTGTAATTAAGAAAAAGATTAGAAGAACTGAGACCCACCTGAGTGAGTCACCTGTTTAAGTTTAGTAAGAAAATAAAACTTCCTTTGACAAGGACAAGTGTGGCAGATCAGATAAAACCTCATACACATGAAAATCTAGAAATTGATCCAGTCAGTACTTGAATGACAATTACAGCTTCAAAGCTGACTTCTCTCGTAATTTTTAAACATGAAGTACTTGACCATTGATAATTTAATGAGATAATGCCACAGTTAGTGAGAAATATATTTGAGTTATATAATATTGGTATTTTTATACCAAACAGTATGATACAGGTTGTAAACTGGTGTTGAGTGCCAAATAATTTTTTTCACAAAACTGATTTTCATGCCATCCATTCTTAATATTTTCAGCTCATTTGCTTTCCTGAGTTGATTTGGATTGGTCATTAGTTTACATCTTTAAGAGCAGACTTTTTGGTGCTATACCACTGTTGACGAAGTAGAAAGAATTTCGTAATCCTTGATTATGATGCACACTAACAAGATATTTCTTGTAAAAACAATGATTTGGAAGCTGATTTAAGACGTGGAGATCACAGACAAAAGAAAGAATGAGTGACATCTGTCAGTCTGGGGCACAAGTACACATCTTACTGTTGACTCTTCCCTCTTTTCCTGATGAATTGTACTTACAGATGAACTCCCTAGTCTTGCAGTGCATTTAATGATTACCACCTGTTTTATTTTCTTAAATGGTTTCTCTCTTTGCAGGTTGTACTTCAAAATGCTAATGAATATCAAAGTATAAATACAGATGTAATAATATTTTTTTCATGCCAGATTAGAATAAATTAATTCTTTTTTTAAACCCTTTTTTTAGAGTCAGTGTTGTTTGGAAAAGTCAGTATTTTAGATTTTTTTTCACTCAATAGTTTTGAAATTTGGAAGAGATAAGAGATGCAGGTTAATATTTTAGGTGTATTTTGTGAGCATAATTTATACCTGCAAATCTGATTTCTCAGTGCTAATTATAAAAGAAAGTTTATTGGTTGTGGGAAGGAGTAATTACTAAAGCAGTGTCAATCTTATGTGGCAGCTACATGGTACTAAATACTTGAGTAAACTGTCCATGTGCTTTTGCTGCCTTGCTAGTGGTTGCAGAATCCAAGAGAAAATACGAAGACTGATATTCTGGAAAATAAAACATCCAGACAGGCTCTGCAGAGAATTTTCCTTTGCTCTGTGATGCTGTGAAAGAGGTAATGAATTAGGAATCCTTGTCATGTGGCCAAAACACTTGAACTGGCATTACATCTTTAAACTTGCTGACAGATTCGCCCCAGAAAGCAGGGGAAATCCTCAAATTGTTTGTATTTGAGGCTCAGCTGGTAATCAGAATATCTCTCTAGGCAGCTTTCAACAAATTTAAAATCAAAACCTTAATTACTGAGAATACTGTGATTGGAGCCTAGGGGTACTTGAAGGAGATTATTGGAAGGAGGAAAGGGGTTGCAGGCATTTATCAAAAGCTAATGAATGTGTAACTTTATTAAGACCAAGGCATTTTTTTGCTCAGTCTGGATGCACCTTTCATTAGGTGGAGAAGAAAACTAGTAAGTTGCCCACCAGTTAAAGCACGTGTATAGTGAAGACTGTGCAGTGGTGGGTAAGCAAAACGTTTTTTTTCGCATCTCCCTTGTCTTACACAAATTCTGTAAAAAGGGGCATTGATGTGCCCATAGGGAGTCAGCCCTGTGCTCTTGAACACTGCCAGTATCTCACTTTAGAGAGGGGTATGAAGCCCAACAGCACCAGGCTGATGGCTTGTGGCAGTGTTGGTCAACTCCTTTGGGTTTTTTCTATTTCTTTCTACTTTTAGACAGGAATCTCCGCTAGAATGAGAGAGCATAATTCATTTTTACTTCACAAGGAAGCCATCTCGTTATGATATACAGATTTTTTTTCTTATAATTGCTAGTTTCAGATAGAAGGGCAAGCAGCTATGCAGTTCTAAATTTGAAGAACTCTGTGCCTTCATCCTCTGTAGCAGCATTAAGTCTGTTGCACTTCACTCTGTATTATATGATTTGAACTGATTTATGGTTTCTGACCTACTTGTTCCAGCTTACTTGTTCCTACAATCCTGCTCACCTTGCAAGCAGAAACATAAGGTTTCATGAAAGACATGCTTTCATTTAGTACCAGTCTTGACCTTTGACTTGTGCAGAGTTGTTTTAGTAAATAGATAATTCCATTTCTTTAAACTCTCAATTTTTCTGTTTTTATAGTATGGCTAAAAAGGAATTAGAAAAACACTGTCCTTGGTACCTGCAAAAAGTTTGAGGAAAATATCAGAGGGGAAAAGTTTATCTGTCTTGTGATCAGGATATTTTATTTAATTTACATGCTATATAGTATTACGTATGCTATATAGTATTACATCTTTGTAATACTTTTTTTTTACCTTTTAGGCTTTGAAATATCATCTGATAAACTTTGTTTTCCAATGGAAAGGCTTAAACATCCTGTTTAGCTAATAAAGTGATGTTAGTGACATTGGATAATACATTGTTCTGTCTTGTTGAGCAAGCCCTGTTATTGCCCCTTCAATTATAAGATGCTTAGCTTGTATATTCTGTATAAAGTACTATGTGTGAACAGATCATAAAGTTCTGGCACTGACACGCATGTTGAAATGGAAGATACTTAGCACGTGCAAGGAAATGAAGTTGTTCTGTGTTTCAGAATGGAGGGCTGAGCAGCCATCGTTGTTCTTGTACTCCAGGAGTAAATTTCTCGGCAGAGGCCTGTTGCCTCTAACACGTGCCTCTACACAAAAGCATGCCAGTGCTGTTCGATAATCACACCTGCCTGTGGTGGCAAATGGTGCTTTGGAATGGCGGTTTGAAAAAATCTTGTAGCTAGTTGCAAAGGTGGGGTTTTTGACTCTTTGTCAGTACCTTTAGGAATACTAGGGGAAAAAATACTTTAAATGACTGGGGACAGAGACATGTGAAAGTGAAAGAAGTTTCATACTCATAATACCTGACTAGAATGACTGTCCTTTTGTTTAAAAAAAATATGCTTTTTTGACAATGCTGGTGAAGTTTCTGGAGGTAGGTCAGATGCTTACTTTTACATTTATAACTGTAACTATCAGAATCCCTTGTCAACGTCCATCCTTAAGGATGTTATTTATTAAAATTGACCTCTAGTTACTGGAAACTGACTGAGACAGTGTGGAGCAGCAGCTCAGCATGTTTGAGATGCTGGGTTCTGCTTTGTTAATTTCTGTTGCAAATCAAAGCTGCAAGTGTTTGGTTGTTACCTTCACTTGAATGGCCATCAACTTCCATATTATCCATTAAAAGCCCTTGTGTGAGCAGGCTCCTGAGCAGAGTTTGAGACATGGTTTATATAGCGTGTGTCCTGAATCTACTGCACTCAGGTTATAAACTTGGAATAGAAAATTACTGAAGGCATTCAGAATGAAGTGTTTAAGATACTATCCTGGGAACTTCACGACTTCATAAACTCCAAGGTTTTCTACATTTCCTCTGAACACACTTTTTCATAAGCATATATGTCTTAATTAAGTTTGATTTCTCAAACTGATCAGGCTTGGGAAACTTTTTTTCATGCTTAATTTTTGGCTACTACAATAACTGGCCTTTCATAGTTAAACCAACTCTAAACAAAAAAGTATTAATGTAAACTTTTATATTCCATGTATCACAAATGCTGTTTTAATAAAGATGTTTA